CACTTCCGGCTTTTTTTCTTTTTGCTTATGTGGTGCTGAGGAATCGAACCCAGGGCCTCAGACATGCAAGGCAAGAGCTCTACCACTGAGCCACCTTCCCAGCCCCAAGAAGTTAAGATTTAAAAAAATTAATTTTCAAGCTAGGCATGGTTGACTTGTTCCCTGATTTTAGCTGCTCAGAGGCTAAGATCTGAGGATTGCAGTTTGAAGCCAGCCATCTCTAATTAACCAGCAAAAAGCTAGAGCCTCAGGTGTGGCTCAAATGGTAGAGTGCTCGCCTTGAGCTGAAGAGCTGAGGGACAGTACAAAGGCCCCAAGACCAACCAAAAAAAAAGAAAAAAGAAAATGTAGCTGGGGATGTGGCTCTGTGATAGGATGGCTGCCTAATACATGCAGATCCCCAGTACCACAAATATGAAAATGCATCCTCGCTACTCAAGATACTGAGAGGATACTAGTGTAAAGCCAGCCTGGGAAGAAAGGTGTGTGAGACTCTTTATCTCCAATTAACCACCAAAAAGCTAATAGTGGAGCCCTGGTTCAAGTGGTAGAGTGCCTGCCTTGAGGTAAAAATCTATAGAAACAGTATCTAGGCCCTGAATTCAAGCCTGATACTGGCACAAAGATAAATAAGAAAAAAAAGTGCTACTTCCTGGTTCCTGAATTTTCTTAAATAGCAAGTCATGAAATGAAATGGCAGATGTAATTGCTTTAAGATGTGCCAACTAGGTGCCAGGGGCTCACGCCTATAATCCTAGCTACTTGGGAGGCTGAGATCTGAGGATCGAGGTTCAAGGCCAGCTTGGGCAGGAAAGTCCCCGTGAGATTCTTATCTCCAAATAACCACTCAAAAAAAAAAATAGAAGTGGCACTATGGCTCAAGTGGTAGAGCGCTAGCTTTGAGCTGAAGAGCTCAGGGTTGGTGCCCGGGCCCAGAGTTCAACTCCCATGACTGACCAAAAAAAAAAAAAAAAAAAAGATGCGCCATTTTCCTCTAGTATAAAAGTAAAGCCAGGCACCAGTGACTCATGTCATAATCCTAGCTACTCAGTAGGCTAAAACCTGGAAGATGGAGTTTCAAAGCCAGCCCAAGCAGAAAACTGTGTAAGACCCATCTCCAAATGACTAGCAAAAAGCACAGCTTGTTCCAGGGACTGGTGGCTCACGCCTGTAATCCTAGCTACTTGGGAGGCTGAGATGTGGAAAAGCTTGATTTGAAGTCAGGCAGAAAATTCTGCAAGACCCCATTTCCAAGTAACAAACAAAAAGCCAGGCTGGAGGCCTGACTCAAATGATTAAGGGCCAAGCAAGTGGGAAGAGCCCTGAGCTCAGGCTGTGGTACTGACATACATAAAATAAATCCACAAAAACTAAAAGTTAGAAACCAAATTTTAGAATCCTGGTGTTTATTCCAATCCAGCACAGTTCAGAAGCAACACAATCTCTGTGGTTTGTGTCTCAGAACAGGATTTGTTCTTGGCACAGCTCATGGAGGTTTTTAAATAAATTTTACGGTCTCTTTGCCTTCTCAAGACCTGAGACTCATCTTTTCGTACTCAGGGTTTTGGAATGACAAGGAGGAACTGCAGAAGCTGAGAAAAAGTGAGATGGTTTTCAGGCCACAGAAGAAATGTCAAGAGTATGCACTGCACATGGAAAACTGGGTGAAGGCCGTGAAGCGCTCCATGAACTGGTATACCAACATGTAGCGCTCAGCACCCCAGGAGGGAGGATGGATGATGGACGTGCTGATAAGCCAATGAGCCACCACCGCTCAGGGATTCCCACCCCACCAACAGAGGACCACATTTAAAATGGGCTTCACAGCCTACTCTTAAACAGTTGCCAACAACAAAAGCCCATCTCTTTTTAAACCCATATCTTGATGAAATTATAAGGCAGAATACCTCAAGATTTTGTCTTCTGTTTTCTAGCCTACCCCAAAGGACCATCAGCCATTTCCAACTGTATTTTCACAGTGTGAGTCCTCCTCTGGTTTTGTGTAGGCTAATCCCTCTGAGAGCATAAGTGTTCTGGGTCAAGCACTGGTCACATTTTGTTCTGAAATGATGCAAAAAGTATTTCTTGAATTCTTTAAGTGGGCTATTTGAAATCCATATAACTAAAAAGAGAGGATAAGTGAGAAAAATGTATAATTTTAAATTATTAGTATGTGTAAAGCCATAATGTTTCTATGTCCCATCCAAAAATGACCCAGTATGTGCCAGATAAGCTTATTTGATAGCCAGTGCTTGCTTTTCGTGAGCATAAAGATACTGCCTTAATTCTGACTCTTGCAGTTCAAATCTAAGCATTTGTTATATGTTGAAAAACACTGAGAACCTAATTGTAGTTCATTTTAGTTTTGTTACTGCACAGGATGTTAAGGGCTGGTGTGATCATGCACTCCTGTAATATCCCAGTACTCCAGGAGGATTAAGAGTTGTAGACAAACCTGGGCCACAGAGGGCCTGTAACAGAGGATGTTTATCCTTGTTGTGTGTGTGTGTGTGTGTGTGTGTGTGTGTGTGTGTGTGTGTCAAGGTTCTTGCTCTGGAGCTCAAGCTATTGTTGAACTCTTCATTCTCTCACCTCAGCCTCTCAAGTGCTGGAATTTCTGCCTTGAGCCAGAGTGCTGAACTCTGTGACAGATTCTTACTGAATCAAAAAAAAACCACCCCAAAACATTGTTTCCTTTTCAAGTAGCATTTCTTGGGCTGGGCTGTGACTATAGCAAATGCTGGCCCAGCATTCCAGGAGGTCCTGGGTTCCAGGCCCAGGTCCCATTCTTTCAAAAACTTCTAGTTCAGGGGGCTGGCAATGTGGCTCAGTGGTTGAATGCTCGCCTAGCATGTGTGAAACCCTGGGTTCAAATCCTCAGTACCACATACAGAAAAAGCCTGGAAGTGTTGCTATGGCTCATGTGGTAGAGCGCTAGCCTTGAGTGAAAAAAAAAGAAGCTCAAGAACAGTGCCCAGGCCCTGAGTTCAAGCCCCAAGACTGGCAAAAAAAGAAGAAACACAAAACTTCCATCTCAAGTACAGCATTCTTTTTCTTTCTTTCTTCTTTACAAAATGCAGGTCATGGATATAAATCCTGCCTTTCTTTCCCTGTTCTTTATCTTGCTCCGTTGTTGAGATACTTGCATGAATGTCTCTTTGTTTTCAAGTGCCTAGTTGATAGCAGCTTCATTGGAAGAAAGTGCCCTGATTTAGAATAGTTGACTTAAGAGCTGCCTTGGTTGGAGGTGTGTCTCTCTTGGGCGTGAGTAGGAGGTTTGCCAGTCTCTGTCTCTGAGATGTGTGTTCTGCTCAGCAGACTAGAGAGCCAGAGGTGTGGTATGGGTGGTAGAGCAGCTTCCTGGCCAGCTGCGATCTTTCCTCAAGCTGCTCATCTTGCTCCAGCCCCAGGTCTCGCTCTGGTCTTCCTACACTGGGTTTGCAGTTTCATGAATGAAAGAATGAATTCATTTCACTATTGGTCAAGATTGATCACCGCAGCTGGGAATGTGGCTCAGTGGTAGAATGCTTGCCTAGCATGCATGAAGCCCTGGGTTCGATTCCTCAGAACTACGTTAATAGAAAAGGCCGTAAGTGGTGCTGTAGCTCAAGTGGTAGAGTGATAGTCTAGAGCAAAAGAAGCTCAGGGACAGTGCCCAGGCCCTAAGTTCAAGCCCCAGGACTGCCAAAAAAAAAAAAAAAAAAGATTAATTACTGCAAGTCCTAACTAGCTATTATCAGACAGGGCTGTTCTGATTAAAATATAATAAACGCACATTTGAAGACTGCACCACTGCCACCTTGTCCCTCCAGAATCACACAGGAGAGGACTGAAGGTTAAGTTGCATCTTTGCAAATTCTATTTTGGTCAAAAATTCTATTTTAGGGTCTTCTTCAATAGTTAAAAATGTTTTTGAGACAGGTATGGGTTGCCCACACCTGTCTTCCTAGCTACCAGGGAGGCTGAGATCTGAGGATCATGCTTTAAAGCCAGCCAATCAGGAAAGTCTGTGAGACTCCAATTAACCAATGGAGCTGTGGGTCAAGTGATAGAGCACTAACCTTGTGCAGAAAGCCCCAGGGTGTGCACACACACACCCACAAAAGTTATTTAGGGAGGCCTTTAAGATTTGGAAATACCACCGAGCGCTGGTGGCTCACGCCTGTCATCCTAGCTACTCAGGAGGCTGAGATCTGAGGATGGCGGTTCAAAGCCAGCCCGGGCAGGAGAGACCGTGAGACTCCTATCTCCAATAAACCACCAGAAAACCAGAAGTGGCGCTGTACCGCAAGTGGTAGAGCGCTCGCCTTGAGCTGAAGAGCTGAGGGATAGCGCCCAGGCCCAGAGTTCAAGCCCCACGACCGACAAAAAAAAAAAAAAAAAAGATTTGGAAATACCTAGTTAAACAAGATAGTTGTGTTTGCTATAAGTCAGATCTCATATAGATTTTTTCATTCCTTTTCAAATTCTACCAAGCTCTAGTCAACTAAATCTTTTCTATCAAAGTTCTCATAGGAGCTACTCTATTTTAATATTCTCTGGTCTCATTAAAGACCAGAGCCTGCAATCCAGGCATTCCTGGGTTCCACCCCCAGTGCTGCCCTCTTCCAAAACAATAATCCAGTGGCTTTTTTTTCCTCTATGAATTTAGAAGCTGATCATTTTTAGCAGCATAGTATAGTAAATCTTTTCTCAGCTTTAACCCGAATCAGAAATACAGTGAATGACATTTGTTCTTCTGGTTGTAGTAGAGTTGGTAGTAGAAATCAGAAAACAGATGGTCTCTTCCACCTGTCCCGCTTTGTTTATGACATGTATGCCAACATTTACAACGTTTAGATAATGTGCTAATCCTTCTCTTCAAGGTTTGTTTTCCCATTAGAGATCTACCCGGTGTGTTTTCTGGAGAAATCTCAGTGAGGAGAGTGTGCTTTACAGTCCATCTTAAAATGGTACCGATTGTCTCTCACTCGTTCTTCAAATTTTTTTTTTTTTGTCAGTTGTGGGGCTTGAACTCTGGGCTTGGATGCTGTCCCTGTGCTCTTCAGCTCAAGGTGAGCGCTCTACCACTTGAGCCACAGCACCACTTCCGGTTTTCTAGTGGTTTATTGGAGATAAGAGTCTCACGGACTTTCTGCCTGGGCTGGCTTTGAACCTCGATCCTCAGATCTCAGCCTCCTGAGTAGCTAGGATGACAGGCATGAGCTACCGGCACCCAGCTTTTCATTCTTAAAATCTTTTTGTGACTCACCATGCCATGCATTCTGAGTCTGGTTGCTTAAACAGGGTTTCTACTATGCCGGTTAATGAAGAAAAGAAGAGAAAAATCACAAGTGTGTGTGTGTGTGTGTGTGAGAGAGAGAGAGACAGACAGACAGACAGACCATGCTGGGGATCAAAGCCAAAGTTTTGAGCTTGCTGGGCAAGTGCTCTACACAGCTACAAGCCGTTAATTGCCTCAGATTTTTTTTTTTATCCACCTGCTCTAGCCCCACCCCTGCAATCTATGAGATCTTAATTAGTGGATACCTGGCTTACGGGTAGAGCTAGCATATTCTGCAGATCTTCTGTGACTTGCTGCTTTGTTTATTGTTCGAGGTCACGTGGTTTTGAACTCTGGTCCTTTGCTGGCTAGTGTGGTACTGTACTCCTTGGATCATGTCCTCCCCCTGCCCCCCTTCCCCCCGCTCACTTAGCCGCTTTGTTGGTTCCCTTATCTTTGAGCAAAGAAGAGTGGAAGCCACCTGAAAGCAGAAACTCCATCCACTGCCACACACTGGACTTGTAGAAGCTGCTCATCCGCATTTGTTGGCAGGCAACACCTTATCTCTGGGAAGGGCGACTGTTTTTGTTTCCTTCTGAGAAGGACTACATTGTTTTGAGCTAGAATTCTCCCATCTTTGATTTTTAAAGTGTTTATATTTGCAAATGTATTTGTGTCTGCCTGGCTGGGAGCTGGTGGCTTGCACCCATAATCCTAACTACTCAGGAGGCTGAGATTTGAGGATCCTGATTCATAACCAGCCTGGGTAGAAAAGTTTGTGAGATTCTTACCTAATTCACCAGCAAACAGGCCCTAAGTGAAGCTTGTGGTAGAGTGCCCGTGTGTGTTAAAGTTCAGGCCTGAGAGCTCAACTTAGTGCTGCTGTTACACACATACATACATACACACACAGACCACACTCCCACACGCTTTTCCAGGGTGGCTACACCATTTTACACTTCCAGCACTGTGATGAAACTGGTTGCTCTCCAACCCCAACCAGCCTGTGTGCTCTCAGTGGGTCTAGGCAGAGCCTTTGGTTTGTATTGCCCTAATGCGTGACACTGTGCCTTATCTTTACACAGGCCTTTTGCTCTCTCTCATCCTCAGTGACATTTCTGTCCATGTCCATCCGCTGGTTGGAATGCTTGCTAACTGAGCCATCATTAAAATTTTTATTATTATTTTTTAATCTGCCGGGCACCAGTGGCCTGTAATCCTAGCTACTTAGGAGGCTGAGATCTGAAAAATCATGGTTCCTAACCAGCCCAGGCAGGAAAATCTGTGACACATGCCAACCAACCATTTGAAAAGCCAGAAGTGGTGCTGTGGCTCAAGTGGTAGAGTATGAGGTGCCTTGAGGGGAAAGGCTAAGGGATGAACACTGAGGCCCTGAGTTCCCATGCCCACAAAATGCAGCTCAGACTTCAGAAGTCATCAGGAAGGGGGCTGGGAAAGTGGCTTAGTAGTAGAGTGCTTGCCTAACAGGCACGAAGCCCTGGGTTCGATTTTTCAGTACCACATAAACAGAAAAAGCCAGAAGTTGCGCAGTGGCTCAAGTGATAGAGAGCTAGCTAGCCTTGAGCCAACGCTCAGGAGCAGTGCCCGGGCTCCAAGTTCAAGCCCCAGGACTGGCAAAAAAAAAGTCATTAGGTAGGAATTGTCAGATCCTTTGAGACAAAATATAATGTTGTGAGCAGGATTTTCTAATGTACTGAGCAGAGTTCTCTTGTACCTGGGCTGGTCCATAGTGTGATACTAACAACAAGACATTTCAAAGGTCCTGTTTCACGGAAGATCGTGTGGGTACAGATACCTTGTGTACAGTCATCCTCTTCCTAGGCTACTTTGGGTAAAATAAGCCCAAATGTGTAAAGTTTTAGAACGATTTTCTTGGAACAGTAGATATTCTCCTATTTGTGCAAGTGTTAAATTTAGATCCTAATTTGTATGCATCTGATATTCTATATCAGAAGTAATCTCGTCTCTCTGATCCTCAGTGCCATTATTGGTCATTGAAAACCTGGTCAATAACTTTTTTAAAAAAATCTGTGGATATACAGCAAAGGAAATATTTTAATATGCATGTGAATTTTCCCCCTTTGCCTGTTTAATGTTTACATTTGTTTTTAAATTTTACCTAGTTTTTTTTTTAAAAAAAAAAAAAACAAGAAACAAGGTCCTCCTGCCTCAACCTCCCTGTATTGGGTTTATAATAGGCGTGTCCTCTTCACCTGGCTTACCTGGGCATGTTCATTCAGTGCTACTTCCTGCTCAGGTTTCTGTATACTAGAAAGGTCAGCCAGTGGTAGAGAGCTAGCGTGTATGAGATCCCCAGTTCCAGCTCCATCATCTCAAAAAAGGGGTGGGGGAGGGGAAGTCCCAGAGAGCCTGGTGCCAGTGGCTCACACGTGTAATCTT